GGGCTCAGGCAATCCACTCACCTCAGCCTCTCAAAGTACTGGGATTACAGGCTGAGCCACTGAGCCTGGCCTGGTTTCAGAAGTTTTAAGCAGCATAGCAAGAAAAGACCTAAAGAGGATAAAGAGAAAAAATGTTTCTAAAAGAGTCTATGTATGTGCGTATATGTGTAAGGTGGGGTGGGGTGGGGTCTTGTATAATGAAACAGGAATTTAGTATTTGATACAATGGGAAAGAATAAACAGTATTAAATAATAACTACCATTTATTAGGCCTATGCTATATGCCAAACACTCTGCAAAGGGTTTTATGCAGAATATATCATTTAATTTTCAAAACAACCCAGCGAGGGAAGTATTTACATGCCCATTTCACAGATGAAGAAGGAGACTCCCTGAGTCACAGAGCTCACGAGTAGGACAAAGCTCCAGGATTGAGCTTTGCTTGGAGCCACCACTGGTGACAGCTTTCCAAGGGTTAGAGATGAAAAAGGAAAGGAAATTGGTTTATGGTGTGGCAGAGGGCTTGCGATTAGACATAAAGAACTTTCTGACAATGAAGGCTGTTTGGTTGTAGTCAGGGTAATTAGACTTGTTAGAGCTCTTCCTCTGAGGGCCTTTACATTTAAGATGAATGGATGCTTCTATGCCTGGATGGTTTAAGGGAAGCACTCTCTGTTCCCAGATGGGGGCTGGTCTGTTTGAACTGACAACCTCACTGGGGTTATAAGATTGCCGTACACAAAACCGTTAGATAACAGGAGAAGACAGCACAGGATCTGTGCCCGAATGGGACCAGAAGAAAGCAAGGGCTTCAGCCAGGCAGATGCTACTGTGGTGACAAGAAAAGTCTACCACAAAGCAAAGACTTTGTGGTGAAGTAGGTGGACTTGTGTTTGAGTCTCTGCTGACTCTACTACTTTTGTAGCCTTGGGTACATTACCTAAACTCTCTAAGCTTTGGTTTCTTAGTCAGGAAAAAGATGCTAAGAATAGAACCTATTTTGGAAGGATGCCGTGAAAATTAAATAAGATGATCCATGGAAAATACTTGGCACAGAACCTGAACATAGTAAGAATACAATGAATGGTAGCTGCTGTAATAATTATTATTGTTGTTGGAGTTCAGAGGCAGGAGAACCCAGTGTGGGATAGTCATAGGTCAGTAGGTAGCTGAGAACGTCTTCCTGAGAAGCCTTGGTTTTGTCCTAAATCTGGAAGAGTAGGTCAAGTTGAATCAATCAGAAGAAACAGAGACAGAGGCAGGCAGGTCTCACGTCATGAAGTGAGATTTCAAATTCCCTATCATTTTAAAAGAAAAATCTGGTTTGATCTGTGGTTGAAATAGAGAAGGATGTTGATTTGGGGGAAGAGGTGGGGGAAAGGGATGAGGCCTTCCTCCCTAGTTTCCAAACCCCATCTCTTATGAGAAGCAGACAGCCTCAGAGACCCAAAACCTAAATCAGACACCCGAGGCTTCTGGGCCCACTCCTAGGCTCTTGTGGGAGAGGAAAGGGTAGGAAGCTGAGAACACAGCTGAGGGCAGAGCTGGTGACGATAGGGACAGGACCTGAAACAGAAGTTAGGAAATGTGGGTGAGGCCCTTAATGACTATGTGGGCTGACTCATGTGGGAAGACCTAGCTTAAAGGCCACATGGAGGTCTAGTATCCTATCAGGCAGGAGGCCAGTTTTGAGTCCCTGGGCATCTCTAATCTTCAGTCCTGCCTGCTAAGGGTGGGAGTCCCAAGTGAGCAATCCTTGTGCTAATCCAATTATTCTCTAACAGCCTGCCATATCTCCCTAATGTGAAGATAAACTCTTTAGGGGCCAGGTGGATCCCCAAGAAAGATGCTGTTTTACATCCTCCATGCTCAAGTACCAATTATCAACTCCTTATATCAAGTATCACGTGAATCCTTGTTAAAAACACGAATTCTCAGTTCTTTTCCCTACAGAGTCTGATCCCGTAGATTTAGGGACCCAAGGATCTGTTTTTAACAAGCATCCAGGTGATTTGTTAGGTAAGGCAAATTTGGAAAACCCTGATTTAGACAATCTCTTGAATCCCTTTCATTCCTAAATTCAAGCAGCAGAGTATAGCAGGGCCCTGGAATGGTAGCAAGAAGCTGATTCTAGCCAGATCATGCAGTTCACAGGACTCTGAGCTGGAGAAGCCCCATAAGAGAAGGAGGCTGCAAGGCAGAAGGGCGTCTTCGCCCATCTGTAACTGAGACCTCCACAGCTGTGAAAATGGACATAGGGGACCAGTAGGTTCTGAGCATCCTCCTCGGGCTTTGTCTTGCCTGGGACTGGCAGTATAGTGTAGGTCTCAGCAACTCCCACTATGCACAGAAGGCCCCAGAAACACAAAGAATTTTTAAAACATGCCTACACTACACAGCTAATCAGAGGAGGCAGGAATCTGGGTCTCGGGGTCTTCACCCAGTGCAGGGTGCCGGGTAGGGCAGGCACATTTTCCTGTGGCTTGGGGGAGAGCCCCTGATGGAGCACATCAGTGTCCCAAGTCCCTGGAAATTCTCCTCTGTGGCCTGGAATCTGACATTTCCCTGGATCTGCTCATTCTATTATCGAGAGAAAGAACAGCATCTAGGGAGGTGGGCAGGAGTGAGGAAAGGCAGAGAAAGTGGGAGGGAAGGGAGACAGGACTGACAAGAAGGCCACACAGGGTCCCCCCAAATCTGAGAGCTTTGAGTACCGGGTTTGCCCGATTCATTAAGATCCCACACCCAACGGGTGTCAGCTGGGCGAGAATCCCAGCTCCACTCTCCGACCTAGGGCAGAGAAAAGGCGGAGTGCAAGGTGAGGTCTGATTTTGCTGAAGCTTTTTTAGAAATTCGCTGGGTCAGAGAAACTAAAAGGCCAAGTAAAACTCCTAAAAATCCTAGCCCGATTATTTTAT